GTCTGTTACTAAATCAAAACAAATGTATTTTATTTTGGTATGACATAGTGACAATACAGTTGAAATACAGTACTTTTTACACTAAATAAAAATAAATAGTTTGTTGTTATGCACATTCTGCTGGCAGATGGCGCTAAAAACACATTGGAACTAATGAATGGATGTCTTATTTCACCAAACTCGGCGCTAATGACGACTAAATAGTGAACCACAGAAACAAAAAGCTTTTCAAAATGTTGCTATATAGTTTTAAAAAAAAGTTAAATATATACTTTAACAGGTATTTTACTACAAACTGATCTTGGTTGTTATATATTGAAAATAAAGGCCCTACCTACTCCAGGAAAGTCAATATCAATATTTAATAAACCAATAAGTGATTTTATGAAGCCCAACATCATAGTACTGCCAGGGGTGGTGGATCAATCCCATGATACCTCACTCTGGCGGCATCTGCCAATCACAGCCTGAGCTAATGACATTACCTATTCATCAGAGTGGACCATCGACCAGCCTCCTGCCTGACTGACCAATCAGAATCAAGTATTCCACAGAGCCGTGTAATAATATAGTATTATATTTTTGTTGATATTTTGAATTGAATTTAAAAATGTATTTATTTTTATATTTGCTGTTTTCATTTTAACTTTAGTTAAAGTTTTAGCAATTTTGTTGTGTTTTTGCCATTATTATTTTTTTGTATGTCTTTATAGTTTGTATTATTATATAATTTTATATAAGGTTTAAATTTTTAGTTTTAGTTATTTTAGTACTAAAATAAGTTTAAGATTTGTTTGAATTTTATTTAATTTCAAGTAATGGGATTTTTAATGATGAAATCCCTGATGTATTGCTAAATATTCAATATATACAAATACAATAGTAGGCCCTACTTATAGCCTACTTAAAAGTTTAGGCGCTTGGATTAGCCTATTATTTTGCAGATTTGAAACTTGAATGTACGAAGCTTCACGTGTCATTTGCTTTCAGTTATTTTACGTATTCAAAACAGTCCATTATACTGCTTGATACTGTATTTTATTATCATGTTATTTCAGTTCATCAACATAAATCACATTGGTTTGTAGCGCAAATAGTTTTACCGTTTACTGCACTTTGCTATTCTTCAAGTTATTTAATGAATCTGAAGTCTCTCGCATTAAAAGAAAACAGCTTACTTTGCTATTTGTACTTACGTTGCAAAAATAAGGTGGATAGAAACTCCTGTAGGCTATTCATTAGCGGTTGAGGCCTCTGTCCTGGTTGCAGTTATATTGATCCATGTGGCCTCCATCTCTGGTAAAGTCACTGTCTGTCTCTGAGGACACGTCAGCACTCTGGAATCTCTCTCTGTCTCAGTGTTTTCTCTCTGGTGAGATAAGCTCAACTCCTCTGCTCTGTTGACTCTAAACAGTGTGAGTGTCTCCTCAGCACTGCAGTATATCAGACTGTCGATAAACCTCCCTCCCTTCTGCCTGATTCATTCCCACAACACTTTCAACTTTGACAGGAAGCAACTACTTCGCTTCCATGACAGAGTGTCACTTTCATGCCAGTAATATATATATATATATATACAAAAACAGCATCTCCTTCCATCTTAGAAACATTGCCAAGCTACGAAACATGTTACCTGTTTCTGATGCAGAAAAGCTAGTTCATGCA